CAGCTTTAACATTTTCTTGTACCGCTATTGCAGTGATGACAAAAAGGAGGTATGACTGTGCAAGCTTGTGTTTTCTTCTCTACTTAGGAATGACAAGGTGACAGGAAGGAGAGGAAAAAAAAACTGAGACTGACCAGCCTTATAGTTACCCTGAGCTGCCTCCTTGAAAGGGAGAAGTGGTACTTACATTTCTCTTGTCATCAGGAACCGCTCCTGATTGCCTTGACCTTCCAAAGAGTAAGATTGGCTTCACACTGACATTGGCCAGCCCCCTCAGCGCTCATGGGTACATCCCGTCAGGTCTCATGAACTTATGTCCAGTTTGTTCAGATGTTCCCTAAACTGATTGCCCTCCACTGAGGGTAACCTTCCTTGCTGCAGACCTTCCCACTGGGTTTTCACTCTGCTTTTACTTTCCCAGATGTTCACACAGACTCAGTTAATACAATTTTGTTAGTAGCAGCAAATCCCAAGTATGCTTTTCTGTGCCAAGTAAGTACATGCAATAATAATTGCCTTTTTTCTGCACCAGGGGAGGTTAGTTTTGAATTGCTTCCTCCGTACTTTAGATGAAATCACTTAAAAGCATGCTAGTAAAGTTGTGTAAACCCAAAATTTGACACTGGTTTGGGTAGTTCTGAGTTAGCACAGCTGTGAGGATATTTCACGTATATCTGAAATTAAGAAAAAAAGGCAAAAAACCCAAACAGAATCACAATGCAATGCATGATAGTGTACGGTATGGTAAATGTTCAACTTGGCTGCACCATTGCATTAATTCCTTGCTGCTTTCTTCTATGTTGCTAATGTCAGTGCCAGTCCTCAGTGGGGTTATTGATGGTTTTGTACATGGCAAGATGGGAGTGCTTGTTTAAACAAAACCTTGCTTGGTTTAGGTCTGTGATGGCAGCTGTGCACTGCTTGCCTGTTGACCAAATCTCACCATCATCGGTGGCACCAGAAGTTGAATCCATCTGTGGTAAAATGACTTTCTGTAGTCAAGCTTGAAACTTACTGCTGGAGTGGTAAAAGGGATTAGAATTGAAATTAATTAGGTTGCAGAGCTGAAAATATCTACTAGAAGAGAAAATGACCATCTCGCTTGGATCCTAAAGAAGGATTCGTTCCTGATCTCTGAAGATGCCTGAGGCCGTGTCCACTGTCAACCTCTCAGCGCTACAGCAGTGCGCAAATGAGGGGGTTACTGGAGAAATCTTCTGTTTTCTCTGAGCAGAAAGCAGTCCCGGCCAGCTCTGAGTGACCAGTGAGCTTATGTCAAATCCTGGTCTTCGGAGTATCTTGGAAAAGAAATGAGAAACACTTAATCGAGGTCACGTTTCTAAT